TTTAAATTTAATTGTTATTTTTAGTTTTAACTGGCTACCTACTATTAATAAATATTTATTATTATTATTATTATATTAATAAATTTTTGTCATTTACCTTAAGCATATTTAAACACAAATTCTTGAATGCTATTTATATTATGTAAATGTCAATTAATGCAGTTTTTATTACTTAATTTGATTTAAAATCAACTGTGGTGCACACCAAAAAATGGAAATAGTATCTTTCCCACATGCATATTAAAATGTAATTTAAATAGCAATATCATCAACGATTCATATCATGACTCAAGGAGATATTGGTGTCACTAACTTCTGAATCAGTAGTCCTGTCATGATTGGTTGGACCATTGACTTTCTTTAACATAGGAAATATAGGAAGTTTATGGTCACCCAGGTACGGTGACCATACATCCTTTATTTAAGAGGACAGTCCTTTATTTCACTGCTCTGTCCTCTAACTTTATTTATTTTATAAAATAGGCATTTTGTCCTTTATTTTATAAATTCAATGCAAAGTTTAAAAACTTTTTTAATAATATATTGAACAAGTTAGTTTCGTGTACGCCATTGCGATCAGTGTTGTCATCATGTCAATACGTTGCTACATAGAACGCGGTAGTGCAGTGTCGCCAACCGAACGGCCCTTTGACAGTACCAAGGGGCGGACACTCTTATGAGGATTTTTGTGATAGTTTTTTAACTTTCTGGTTGGTGGATGATACACTTGGAGCGTTGGTGAGCATTCGTCGACACTTGTCGACAATCTTCGGGGGCTCGAGCATGTGACATATTTACTGTTAATGTGCTAAATAATTGGGACATGTGTTTTATTGAAATAGAGGTGTTTGAATGGGTCACATTACTCAAAATCCCTTTGTGGGTGAAGGTAGAGGAAAGCTAGATTTTTATTTCGAATCATTGGTCTGTAAATATACTCGACAGTGAATTATTTGATGAAGTTTTGTGTGTAAAAAAATATGTCACAAACGAAAAGATCGACGAATGGCGACAGAATAACAAGCCCTGCCATCAAAAGTGGGTTGAGATTTTTGAACATTTTACAGCAAAAAATTGCTTTCAAAAACATTTGTAAAATCGTAGAATTTTCTTTGTCTCCCTGGATCTAATGCATCGTCGAACGAATATTTTCATTGGTGAATAATATGTGGACGAATGAAAAAACCCAGTTAAAAGTAAGCACATTATTTCTGTCAAATACAACTTTCAAATAAACTGTATAGAATTTTATGACGTTTTAAAGCGTGAACCAGTGCTATTAAAACAAAAATTAATTTTACTGAAAAGTATCAAAATTAATGTTATTTGAATTTTTACAATGTGTATGTATGTGTAATAAATGTTATAAACTTATGAATTTTATAAGATTTTTTAATTTTCTTCGATATGTCCTTTATTTTCCCCAAAAAAATATGGTCACGTGCTGGCTGTGCTGAGTAGCTTGTTCAGCAACCAAGTTGTCAACAGCAACCAGGACAAAAATAAGTTCAAAATTTCGTTCATAAATCAAATTGTTTGAAAAGCAAGGCATTTGCAACCCAGCATAATCATACATAAATTTGTACTGTTTGTCTGTATATAAATAAAATTATATCATTTGATAATCTAAGATTTGCACTAATGTTACTAAGAATTTCCAAAATCAATAGTTTTTCTTTAGACTAATTTAGTATTCTATCAGTCTTAAATATATAGAAACAGCAACATATCTCTATAATGACAAACAGTTGTTTTTTTACATTAAATTAATGACAATAAATTCTTCATATCATTAGTTTGTGTAGCATTCAGACTAAACAAACTAATGATCTGAAGAATTTATTTCATATAGCTTGCCTTTAAGACAATCTGACATTTCTGACTTATTTAATATTAAAAATCAAATTTATAAGGAACGCATTTGGTCTCTTAGGAGTGCCACAGGGTAGAATTAATAAGTTAAGCAATTTGGAGGTTATTGACATAACTGATATTATTAAATTGAAAAGTTTTCTCAAATCAACACTATTATTATTATTATTCTTTCATAAAGCATTTAATTTAAGAATAGTAAATTTAAAAAATTAAAATTTAATAAATAACATATTTAAATGTGTCAATACTGCTTAAATTCTTTGTGGTTTACATATTGATAGAAATTTTAACAAGAGAAGATGAGAAGTTACAGATTGAATCTTGTAAATTATAAATTTTTCAGTTACAGCATTAGAAAACAAATTAAATATGAAAACTTAGCCAAAGTTTACATACAGATATTAACAGTGTTATATATGTTAATTCAAAAAATAAAATTAACTGATGAAATTATTATTTGTTCACATATAAAAATTTGAATTAAATATAAACAAAATTCAAGAGTTTTATTTCTGAAATTAAGCAAAACTGTAAAATAAAACTTGATGAAAATTAAGTGAAATTCATATCATTCAATATTAAATTAAAATTATGCTAAATTTATCAAAATGAACAACATTGTTACACTTTACACTGTCCAATTTCTGATTTCAAATACCAAACATTCTTTTAAAGTGACAAAACAACTTTTGATGACTCAAAAATGATAAGAAATAGTCGCATGCTATGTCTTGATTGGTTAGAATGTGTTAATGTTTTAGAAAAACTATGCATTACAATTGTATATATTAGTATTTTTTCTGATAAAACATTTAAATCAAATGTATAGTGTGTTCTATATATTATGAAAAAATTTCTTAACTTATAGAATTCACTATAATATTTTTATGAACAACAAAAATATAAAATTCTTAAAAATTTGTGCATTTCATTTAAATTGTTGAAAATAAGACTAAATGAAAAGCCAACTAAATAAACGCTCAAAATCTAAGAATGTATATGATTTGATATGATATAAAACATAANAATGTATAGTGTGTTCTATATATTATGAAAAAATTTCTTAACTTATAGAATTCACTATAATATTTTTATGAACAACAAAAATATAAAATTCTTAAAAATTATGTATTAAGATTAAATAATATAATGATTATTATTTTATATATATACTATATATTAAAAAATGAATATATATATAGAGTACTCACTTTTCTTTACATTTTTAATGGTACTATCAAGATTTTTTCACGGAGCTAAACTACTTATGAATATTACTGTTATAGGGAGATAACCTATTTATGCAAATTTTAGCACTTAAATACAGTATATAAGAACCTAACTTACCAAATTACCATTATAACTTTCACATTCAGAACTCTCACATTCAGAACCTTACATATATTTCTATCAATATTTATTGCTTCAAATATTTTATAAATTTAAATATTTAAAACATACAATAGAAAATGTAATAAGAACAAAAAGATACTATATTAAATGAAATAGTAGTTAAATGATACTATTTTCTGTTGACAGAAATTGTTGAACTGGCTTCAAATTTTTATATTACTGTTTTCTCGTTTATAGTAATTGAACAGAATGTAATTGAATATAAATATATCATCATTTCCCTCTATATATTTAAAACTCCAGAAACATAAAATCAGATAACAAAGAAAAATTTTTCTAAATATTCACTTGCTTTATGACTTGAATCTTTTGCAATCTTAAATAAAGCTTTATTATTGCCTTATTGCCCTTATTTCAATGCTTATTATATTTGTCGACTTGGACTTAAATTATTAATAGGACTGTTAATTTGGTGTTAAGTATTAACACAAAATTGAGCAAAATTTCTCAAAGAAAACAGACTTCCTTTATAAGAAAGTCTGTTTTCTTTGAGAAATTTTGACAAATATAATAAGCACTTAAATGAAGTCTTCATCTATCTTCATTCAATACATATAGATCCTTGATTTAATGAAACAAATCTGCCCTAAAGAAAATTTTACAATTTTTTTTAATTCATGGACAGAGATCACTAAAAAGTAGGGTCAACAAGTATAAATTATTGAATGTACTATATATTGTAATATTTTATTCATAATTATATATTTTAATATTTTAATACATCTTGTACATTTTAAGTTTGTTATTAATATATATTTTTAAAACACATTCAATTTAACAGACCTTTAGCAATAGTAGACACCTCTCCCCAATTAATCCATTACTTTAAATCAAGGGCCTACCATATTCTAACTCACATATGTTTATTTTCAGCAATTTCCAAAGCTGCATTATCCATATATTCAAAGTATAGAAATTTTTACATTGGATTCTACGTAAGCTTTAGGGCCATCCACAAATAACATCCACACCAGACGGATGAGAGGGAAAGGGTTACAACAAGTCAGACAAGGGGAAGGGGTCGAACAACGGCAGACGTCCATTCGTCTAGTTAATTTTTAAAAAGTTTATGCATTTTATTATATTTATTTCAAAATTTCTTGTACGTTTCGTTTCTACTTACGGCATCTGTCATTCATAAAGCGACAAAGATTTTAAGGGGTCCGAGTTTTGTCGCATGTCCGAAGAGGGAAGGGGTTACAAAAACTCAAACAAACCAAAACAAGAGGGGAGGGGAGTAAAAATTTCAAGAAAAATACAGACGTAATTTACAAACAGCCCGTTTTACTTATTTATTTTTTAAAATATTGTATATTTCTAAAGTTTGTAAATGATAAAAGTTAACAAATGCATACAAATTATAATAATATCTTATCTTAAATGTATTTTGCTCTCTAATAATTAAAACATAAGAATAAATGAGATAAGATAAAATTTCGAAATAAATTTTAATAAACTAAATCGAAATTAATTCATCTGCATATATTTGTAACGAATTTTCACGTCATTTACGTAAATTACTTTAATTAAAAACAAAGTCTGTTTTGAAATTAGTTCAATTAAAACCCATTAAACTTTCAGCAATTAAAAATAAACGATATGAATTATTTACTTCTACGTCCATCTCCGCGTAATGGATTTAAAGATTCTCGTCGATATTTACCGTTACTAAATTAATATATATTTATTTATTAAATGAAATCGGAACTTACTTAGAAGAAATGAATAATTTCCTCTCAGACTTCCATAAAATTATGACTGTAGAAAGTAACATTACTGTAGATTTACTCGGCCATTGAGTGAAAGTTTGAAGAAACAGGCTAATTCTAATTTACATTTTATACGGAGAGTGAAAATGTCTTTTTCATTCTAGTACATACAATATACTTCGTCAAATTATATAAACAAACAAACCTAAAACTGTATACATTCCGACATTCTGATAACTTGTTTAAGTTCCAACACCCCCTAACAGAAGTCGGCTTCGTTAAGTGTTTTCAGAAAATATTTACCAAATTATTACCAATGTTTTATTTTTTAAATAAAAAAGAAATTAAATAAAATTAATGGGTAATTTGTTATAAATTTTTTTTATTTGTAATAGTATGTGATCGTATAAAAAATTAAAATGATAATACGTTATATTATATGTAATATATACGTAATTTTCGAATTTATCTGTGTGAAATTGTTTCCTATTATCGAGAATTTATGAAATAAAATTTACAAAAATGAAAATTTAATAGCGTGATTAAATTGTTTTAAATGTTAAATTGTTTATTAATTTAAATATTATGTTGGTTTTTTTTTTCTAATATTGCCACTAATAATTTTAGCACTGTGTATAGTGTTATATTGTAGTTACATAATACGACCGGATGGCCGAGCGACGAAATAACATTGTTCCTCACTGACATAAACAGTATTAAAATGGTGAGCTTAGTTTTTGAGAAATTTAAAGATATCTTCACAATGGAAATTAATCCACAAAAATGCAAAGGACTTTGGGTTGGAGCCTGGGAAAATCTCTCATCAAACTACTTAGGATTTAACTGGTCCAAGACCAATATCAAAAGTTTGGGAATCCTGATAGGTAAGAATAGCAACGAGCAATGGAATAAAAACATCGACAAGTTGAGAAAGCCCTCTTACATGTGGATAGGAAGAAATGTCTCGATTACTGGAAAAGCTAAATTAGCAAATGTCAAACTGCTGAGCCCCTTCTGGTATCTTATTCACTCCCCAAGAGAGCGGTGACGCAAATCAATAGAATGTGCGCTACCTTCATCTGGGGCTCAAACTTCGAACCGATAAGAAGAACGACGTTATATAATAGTTTAGAAAACGGAAGAGCTGATTTATTGGAAGTTTCCCTGAAAATTTTAGTTCAGCGATTCAAATTGATAAATACCGTATCTGGACAAGTTTAGCGAAAGCATTTCTCAACCTCATATACCAAATACAGTATAATCATAATTATTGAAAAGATACACAGACTAAGACCACCAACAATACTGCATGAAATTGAACGATGCTACAGAACAATGAAGGAAAATTTTTCCGACGAAATCATCTTTACATCAACACCAAAGGAGCTCTATTATAAAGTAATACTCCAAAACCGTATAAATCAATCAATCTGAAAAGTAAAAATATAATTAAAATCACTTCAAAACTAAATATCCCTAGTAAAGCGATAACTATCTTTTGGAAACTTCAACTTCATCATAACTGCCCACAGACAAACGAATGGAGAAAGCAGAAAAAGTAACAAACTGCACAGACTGCCCCATATGCCACAACAAAGAAACGCTAGAACACGCCATCCTGGAATGCAAACACACGAACCTACTCTGGACAACACTAAGTAACAAATGTTCTCTAACACGAACGCACAATATAGAAGACATCAAATGGCCATGTGAGTATACAGAGACTAAACATCAACTAACAATCCTAATCACCGCGATCAATGCAATCTGGACAAGCAGAAATTTATCCTATTACAAAAAAAACCAACGAACAAATAACCTTTTCTATTTTTAAGAACCTAATGGAAAACCAACAACAACTGCTAGAGTACAAAAGGCAGAACTTTACGAATATTGAAAAATAACTGGATAAATACTGGACTCCTTATGGAACGTAATGGCTCACTATAACTAAACCTGTAATGCCGTTGTAAATTATTTTGAATGTACAGTAACTATTTTATGACCAACTATTTTGGTATAATTTCTGTATAAATAATATATTGTTCTGATAATAAAATTATTTTATTTATAAAAAAAACCGGATGGCCGAGCGGTCAAACTGGCAGCCTACCGCTCTGAAGGATCCGAGATCAAAACTGGACGGGCCGTCTTAGTGCCCACAGGACGGAAAGAGTTAAGGCGTCCCTCTACCGCTCTGAGATCCGGGATCGAATCCGAGCAAGCAATTGCAGGAGTTTTGCATGGGCGGTAAGTCCTAATTACGGTGTCGTCCTAATACCTCATTGTCCCAGTCGCCCTGTTGTGGATCTAGCCGAACCTCAGGTAGGTATGAAAAAAAGGCTCACTTATTCCCTTAGTGCCTACAGGGCAAAAAATGAAAAAAAAAAAAAACTATTATTCAAAAATTTTATTTAAATTTCAAAATTAAAACTATTACTCTCTCTTCAATTCATTTGAATATTTTAGAAAAAAATTACCATATCAAGTTCTAAAATTCTTTATTAAATTTATACATGTACCCGTCCTATACATCCCAGTGGTCTTTATTGTGGGTCTTACCGAACTCGCAAAAAATAGATCAAAACACTCTTCATGCTTACAGGATAGAATAAAAATATTTTTTCATATAGTCACTACAAGCTAACTTTTTAATCATGTTGAAGTTCAGATAATCCCCCGTGAAATACCAAGTTAAAATTGAGATAAATCAAATTACTGTACTACTGTATCTATTATAAGTCAGCCTTCAATGAATTTCTTTAAACTCCATCTGATGGCACTGAAAAGACCTTTCTATCAAGCCCTTAATGCTTTCGGCCAGGCCCAAAATGAAAGCGACGAGACCTATATATCACCCGAATGGACTACTCCCGAAAAAATTCCTGTTTTTCGACCCCCACGTTGCTCACAACGTTAGCTCACGCTACCCGTCTATCTAATTATTTTAATTTTCAAGATGAAACAATTTGAGTAATTTTTAATGGAAAACAACAACGTTCGATCCCCACGTTGCTTTACAACCTGCTTCGATGTTTTCTTTGAAAGATTGATCCATACTCTCTTCAGCACGAATGAAGAATAAATGATGCGTCTACGGAAACATGTATGAAAAATCATGATTTCGAAAGGATTCTTCACAACGATAAAAAAACAAAACTTTCATTTTATTACAATCATAATACTGTACAAATAATGCTATATATTCTACAAATAATTCACCCAGCACGTGTTAAACAGTTTGGCTAGTCGCTTCACCGTTTTGCAATACGTAGAATTATACGGCATAATTGAAAGTGGGAAGGAATACAGTTTATTAAAATACTTTAATTCTAAAAAAATAATCAGGACAATTTAGATAAAAAATTTGATAAATTTCAAATTTGTAAAATTGCTAGATTTATCACTAACAAAATGTTATCTCGATACGACGGTCGAGCAGTTAAGATGGTAGCATACTGCTCTGGGGGCCCGGAATCGAATCGGATGGGTCAAAAAAACCCAGAAATTTTTCCGGAACGGTTCGTCCAGATACGTCGATCCCCAAATGTTTTTTTGCCTATAGCTTTATTGAAATCTATGCCTCCACCCGATTGAGAAAAGCCGGTCTAAATAGGAACTCCTATAGCCTAACAGAAATGTCTTCTTAAATTAGAGGATTTGTCGTGTTTTAATTTTAATCCCAATTAGACTAATTATAATAAATCATAAATAAACCAACATTGTTATCCAGTCAACTTAGAATATCATTTAACTTTATTATGCAAAATGATGTCACATCTTATAATTTCAAACGCGCGCTCGTTATCTTTCAACAAGATGGTACTTGAGATTTAGATGAAATTTAAAAAAACTGCTTAATAGTTATTGCTCACTAAAACTTCAGAATGGAATTAGCAAGTAAAATAGCTGATAATCCAATAGAGTTGTGGCTATTTTAATTAAAACCATTCTAAAAACGGGAGGAAAAACTGACCTCCACAAATAAAACAAATGTCTATCAAATCTGTAGTTTCTAACACTAAAATATATTTTGAGGTTGATTTATTCAAATTTGGATTGGTCTATCTAATAAGTAAATTCAAACAGGCTGAACACAATTTCTTTAGAACAAAAAATTGATGCACTTTTAGTTAAAATGCCTTTTTTAAATTTATAAATTGATAAAGATAACTTCTAATTCAATTAATCAATATTTCTTTCTTTCTTAGTTGAAATACTATTAAATACATAAGTTTCCAATAAGATCTAATGTCATCTTGTATAAGTTTTGTGACAATGTTTTTATTGTCATAAAAACTTAACAGCAATTAATATCAGGAACCAATAATCTTTCTAGCAAATTCTTGGTAGTAACAACTGGCATGAGTTAAGAAAATTCAAGAGTTTTCGATATTCCATTTTGGAAATTTCTTTTTATATTGTCCAGAATTTGCTGCATATGAAAGCTTTTTTGCTCTTAATATCAAGTAGATGTGTGTCAAATATTAAGTTTTAAACTAATTACTAATTAATGGCTGACTTATATTGAAAAATATAAATTTATCACCATTTGACAAATAATTTCTAATTAATATCAAAAATCATTCCTAATTGAAGCAATTTTGTCTTTGTTACTGGATTGAGTCCTAGTAATGCTTTTTGTAAGTTTTAATAACCTTATTTACATTAAAAAATAAAACATTTATTTAATCCAATGTACATTGTCCTTCATTTAATTAACATTTCTTCATCAATCTAGTTATTTTTTGATGTCTTACAAGAATTAGATTTTGATTAAAGAAATTTCAATGTGTTTCTGGATTAACTTGTTTTGAATTAAAACTTTTTGAAGAGATCAACAGTTTGTAATCTTAGGAGCCAGATTAGGGTTATAAAAAGGATTAGGAATTTTCTAATTAGGCTTTATAAATTTTTTTTGGGTGGCTATTGCAATGTGGGGTTGAGCATTATCATGTAATAAAATAATCCTCTTCCTGTTTGTCAAATATGGATGTTTTTCTAGGAGTTCTTCAAATGCAGATAGTATAAAATAGCATAAACTGTTTCATTTGGCTTCAATAACTGAAAACGCAGTATTCTCCTCATATATTCCACCATACAAATAACAATACCTTTCAAGGATGAAGACCACAATTTGGTTCTAGAGCAACCTTTGGATTTAACTATCAATATTGTTTTTCACAAATGACATTAGTGTACAATACATACTTCCATCCCAGTTACTATTCTGTCCAGAAATGGGGTTTATTATTGCTTATTAAGAAGCAAAACAT